GCTTTCTGTCCGTGTGCTTCGGATGTGTGCGCTCAGAAAACCGTATATCAGAAGTTTAAACTCATATGGTTTAAAACGCATGATTTCAGCGCGATAAACATGATAATCAGAACCAAAACAGATGTTTTTAGCAGGTACGAGCTGTAATGGCGCAGCTCTATTCTGGAAAAGGGGGCGGGGAGCAGCAGCTCATTTGCATTTAAATAGACCGGCCCGAAAAACAGCGAAACTTCACAGACACATTCTGGGGACACCAGAGACTTGTATTACATATTGTAAAAAGGGGCATAATATGTCTCCTTTAAAGTCGGCGTGAAATGAAAATTCACCCCATATGTTTCCTAAATGTATGTTACCGATGTTATCATGAAAAATTTATCCACCTTATTTTTAAACTAATAAGCCATTTTCCGTAAATGTGGAAATAACGAGAAGAGTAACAGCATGCAGTAAATTCTAAAAATGTTGCGCTAGAAACTAGTGAGTTCATAATTAAGACTATACATGAAAATAATATGGTAAGACACACCAGTTTGAAATGTCATGCAGCAAAATGAGCTAAAAATAGCTGGATGCAAATGAAACTGGAAGCTAGACCTTTTTTTTTGGACATAATTTCAGCATCAAAATGTCATAACTGGATCTTCCAGTGAAAACTACAGACTTCTCTCTGGTGACGTCTGTAGGCCCTCTGCAGTCATTTAGTCCCATTGAACTCATCCCTGTAAGCACACCTTCAACTGCTTTTTATCTTTTGACTTTTTTTACAGGCTTCATTAACAGACAAAAGTAGCTGTGCATCCTGAGTACAAATGTACACAAACATTTCAATCAAACAATCAAAAACTGGCAAGTAATTGTCAGCAAATGTGTTCAACTATACAGTATTCACCATATTTTTAGCATAATATCAGCTGCAACCATTTGTAACAAATCTGTGCCGCTTGTAGGTATTTTAGCTGTGCAAAAACTGTTATGCTGCTTGAAACTGGAAACTGGCATTTGGTATCATCATAACATATTAAAGCAGTAATTCACCCAAAAATTGAAAATTTGCTGAAAACGAAGCACACCGTGAATGGCTGCCGTCAGAACGAGAGTCCAAACAGCTGATAAACACATCACAAGCATCCACTCCAGTCCAGCGATTAATATTTTGTGCATTATATCCTTAAAAGTAATTATTATAATTAAATTATAATAAAAAGTAATTATTGCAGTCATAAACAGCACACATTTTCACCATTTAATGCACTTTGTTTTTCTTTTAGTTATTTACCTACCGCAGCTAATGAATCGGAAGTGTTGCACATGCAAAAAAAAAGGTGGATGTACAATACCAAAACAGACAATAAAAATCTGAGTGCTTTAGGTGACTGTTAGGTATAGCAAACTGGCTTTTGTCCCGTCTGCTGCAGACGTCACAGGATAGTAGCTGGTGTCAGTCGGTGTCAGGACGTAATTTCCCAACACCTCCAGAGTCATTAGTCACATGACATATGGCTTAGATTATTGGCTCAAAAATTATTTTTTGGGAATGGACTGCAGGGCTGTTAGTGAGAAGAATGAGAAAGCAAAGGCAAAGCTTTTCCAGGTATTACAGACCTGCTTGTGCTAAAATGTGACCCTGCGGAGCACAAAACCAGTCAAGTCGCTGGGGTATATTTGTAGCAATAGCCAAAAATACAGTGTATGGGTCAAAATTATTGATTTTTCTTTTATGCCAAAAATCATTAGGATATTAAGTAAAGATCATGTTCCATGAAGATATTTTGTAAATTTCCTACCGTAAATAAATCAAAACGTAATTTTTGATTAGTAATATGCATTGCTAAGAACTTAATTTGAACAACTTTAAAGGGGTTTTTCCTCAATATTTTGATGTTTTTGCACCCTCAGATTCCAGATTATCAAATAGTTGTAT